AATGGCCAAGAAAAAAACCAGTATTTCATCAATAGCAGAATGCGATTCATGAGAAACGAAGGTTAAGTTTACATAAGTTGATTGCTTTTTTCGTTTTAGCTAATTATCCATCTTTATCGAACTTTTCTCCTATTATAACAATCAAATATTCACCAAACTGTTATTTTTTCAATGTTGAAGTATGTAACTCATCTGAATAGGCTGCTGCTAATGTAGGATAATTTTTAGAAGAAATCACATCTGTAGCGATAAGGAAAAATTGTAGTACAATATGTAAATCATTTCTTTGACATCAGCCATCATTAGTAAATTTGAATTTTTTTGAGTCAAGTTTTATCTGTTATGTTGCACTAATATATGGAATTTCGAATGGTCAGCGGTCGATATTGCTGAAGCGATCAATCATTATAAAGGTTGTTGTCCATCGAATTTCAAAATCTGTAACAAGTCAGAATTAGATGATTAGTTTTTTGGGCTTTTCTTGACTTCTTACATAATTATTGATAGCTCGTGTACGACTGATATTATTTATATAGATTCTTACTTGCTTCACTACTCGACGAGCGACTGGTTGGATGTTCTGTGTTGGAATGAATTGTTCACCATTGTTTTCTTTACCTTCACCATGAGATTTTCCATCAATATTGATTGAGTTTTCGTTTTTCCGAATTATCTTCATTTTTTTTCAATTCTTCTGGTGCATCGATTTCACATGTGATCACCTTTGTCTCTTCCTATATGTATCTCCTCTACCCCTACTTCTTACACTTTCTTCACCTACAACCTTTCAACTTTACTTTGCTATTAATCGATATTATTCATTCATTGTCCGGTCTTGTTCTTTAACATCTCCAGTTAAAAAAATCGTCGATGTCCTACAAGGCTAGGTATGCAACATCCTATGCGAGGATAACAGCATAAATGTGTCATACTTACGGTAGAGTATTTTCTTTTTCCTTTTTCCACCTTCACGAACGTTGAGAATAACAAACTTCATTAACTGATTGTATAATTTATCATTAACAGGACACAACTCAATCATCTAAAGGAGATGATAACTTTTGTCAGATAAAACAAGGGTTGTGTTCATGTCACCATTCTCTACGTAGAACTGACCGACTCAATAGGCAACAGTGCATGATGCTGATAGCATAATACTCGACAAGAAAAAATGAAGTGTAAAGCCAGATCTTTTTGCTACAGTGTCCGCTTCTCATAAAGATTGCATTGGATTAACATCAATGACAGCGTAACATTTGTTCTCATTCATTTGTATTTTTCTGTTTGATGGCGTAATACTACCTTGACTATTATCACCTTGGTTACTTGTAGGGTCAAAAGCAGTGTATATAACTTCGTCCATGCAGCATTGACATCATTGTTCACATTTTAATTCGACAAGGATTTCTCTGAAAGCTTGTTACTTGATGGAATTCTGACAGAATTAATAAATACAAACATTTTTGTGAGTTCGGATATGGTGTGGGTGTGAGTGTGAATGGAAAGAAGACCCACACTCACACCTCACACACTTCTACTTCGAATCCTACACCGACAACCATACTTCCACACTCTCAATATGGCATCTCATAATTTTCATTCGTTTTGAATTATGATCAAGTTATGGTAGTTATAACTTAGCGACGACTTCATGATTTTTACTTTATTTCACAATAGCGAAAAAAAATCCCGTCTATCTCAAACCGCTGGATTTTAATGACCCATGTGTATCGAGGAATTTTTTTTTGTCAAAGTAGTACATCGAAATTTTCAAGTTCAGATATGAGAATGATTAATTTATTAACAATAATTCTTTTTCTATTTAATTTATCATAGCCTGTTCCTATTAGGACCATTTTTTTACTGACTGCTCGAATTAGGCACATGCGCTGTATGAGTTTACATAAAATATTCTTACAAGTATAAATCGAATTGTCCTCAAGTCTAAAATATTACAACAGATGTTCTGATATATTACTTCTTTAATATAGGTTGCTCGATCGCTTATACCGTTTTCTCGAATTTCCTGTTCTAGTAATTTAATGTTGTTATTGAACGATTTGAAAAAATTAATATGCGACGTATACGACAATAGATTACTTTTAGTCTTAAATCACAAAACGATCTATTGAATGTATTCTTGAAACAAAATGTTCCACTTACTAAAAACGCGTGCACTCCTCTAAGGATGTGTATAGAACATTCGATACAACAATTGACACCGCTATCTTGAGTTATTAAACCCAAACACTGTAGAAAAAAAAGATATTTTGCATTGTTGTTGTCGACTGCTATTATGATATATATCATAACTGACAACATAAACCTAAGGAAAAAGAAAAGCTTTCAGATTTTCTTATTCATTGTAAGTACTTAGATGATTCTTCGAAATCATAATAGTAAGTGATTATTACACTCATCGATGATAATACTTTATTATCCATTTGTGCTAATAGAGTTAAATCAATAAACGTCCCATGTTGCGAAAACCTGCGGTATTTCTTAAAACCGTCGGATGATCGAATTTCACCGGCAAAACCGGAGGTTTTAAGCGATACTCCGATTCTTTACAAATTCCACCGGTCAACCGCAGTTTACCGCTAGTTTTTCCGTTAAAGAGAAGATGACGAATGGAGATAGAACGAAAAAACAAACATGTATATATACATGTGCTTATCGATCTTTCGCTCATTTTGCTGGTTCGCGTGGTTAGATAAAATAATCAAGAAAAGAATAAGAGGCGCTGTATATAACTGATTGTTGTTATAGATGATTTTTTCGTAATTAGTTCGTTCTCTAAAAAACTAATTTTTTAATATTTATTTCTTTTTTTAATTAATATTTTAATATTCACTTCTCCGTTAGATTAATTTTTTATCTTTAATTTTCAGATTATTTTTTTAAATCTCATTTATAAATTATTTTTTAAAAACAACGTTAGATTAAGTTTCGCATGTTATTTTTTGAGGTTAATTTTTTTGTATTAAATTTTACGATTATTTTGTAACGCTTATTTTTTAGATTCATATTTCAATATTTTATTTTTAAATGCATTTTTTCACATTTTACTTTTAATTTAATTTTTTTTACATTTGATTTTTTAGATTACGTTTTTAAAATGTTAAATAAATTTCTTTGTATAAATTATTTCACGTTTTTTTTTAATATAAATTTTTCGTTTATTGCTATGTACGATATTTTTTGCATGCTTATATTTTTTTTTAAGTGAAATAAACTAGTGTAATTGAAAGATAATTGTTAAATTTCAAACAAATAGTGGCGAGGCAAGGGCTCGAACAGTGCCGGTAAACTGCGGTTTATCGGGTAAAAAACCTAGTGATTACGGCAATTTATCGCTTTTCACCGCCGGTTTTTGTCCAGTTTTCATCACATGGGGTATTTATTTCATGGTACAGTGCCATGGCTGCTTCATGATTTAAACGACCAGCATTTTCATCAAGATTATAACACGTATTCAGATGGATAGTAACTTGTTTTAGTAAATCGTTTGAAGAAATCATTGAGAAAAAATTCTACAAAACGAACATCAATAGCATAAAGCGACTGGAAATAGAGGCAAAAAATTGCATATGTAAAAAGCCGTTAGTACAATCCCTTTGAGATTAAAATGTGAAACAAGATATACTCATTGCTGCTAATTCTCTAAAAACTTTGCTTTTTTATGGATATTCAGGCGAATTCCGCCATCATTCCTTACCTTTGCAGCATAAACTTCAAGAACGAATTATTCTATGAATAGATTTCAATAAGATATTAGTTATGAATAACTTTTAATAGCTCTCGAAAGCCAACCACTACTGTCTGTGATGAATTCGAACTCTTTCAGTCACGATCTGTGATGGGTAATTGATTATTTCAATATTAATTATTAAATCAACATGTCTGTGACAGCCTGTCTGTCACGGTCTATGACGGCCTCTGAAACCCGTCTGTCACGATCTGTGATGGTCTCTGGAGCCTGTTTGACACAGTCTGTGATGAGTCCGAGTCGTGTCTGTCGCGGGGGTGGGTATGTGGCTTTGTTGGTGTGCGGTGTGAGTGAAGTGAGGGTGGGGGTGACAGTATGTATACTTCTTTTCCTCACATCCCACACGCACACCTCACCCCACCCACACCCGCAGTCACAGCCACAACCACTGCCACACCTACACCCACACCTATTCTTGGTGGCTGCGCCCCGGAGCTTTTAAGGACCATTTATTTATTCATATATTGATTTGTAGAAAGATAGACGTTTCTTATGAAAGTTTGCGATAATCATCACTTTGAATCGATACTCTAAAAGATTAATGTGTTGAAAGACGATCAAAGTGGAAGATTTCAACGTAAAGTCTCGATCGATTTACAAGGAAATTGATGAAAAAGAACATAAACCATTTATGATACAATTTGAAGTTTTAATCAGGAAAAAAGAATGTTTTCACTAAATAAAGGATTTACCACTCAATGCAAATAAGTACCTTTCTATGTGATACTATTCTATGAAAATATCCATCACTGCACATAACAACAGGGAGCTGTATCAATTGCCATAATAAAGTCTGTATATCATATCTTATCCATCCAAAACAGAATAGCAAAGTATCGAAAATTGTCTGATAAATGTTCGCAATAAATCGATACATATTCGAGAAACTCAATTTTCTTCGATTGTCCAACTAATTTAAAAAAATAATAAAACATGATTTTTGAAGTAATACTGACTGATTATTTTGATAAGAGCGTGCAAACGTGCACTAAACACATTTTTTCAGAAAAATCTCATATGTTATTGGCGATAACTTTCTTTTCTTCAAATTGAAAATATTTGTTCAATTTCATTTAAGCTATTTTTCTTATTTCTTTTTTTTTCGTTAATACAAATAAATATGTGCGTCAATGTGTAAATCAACGGCATTTATTTCCAAAACATTTTCTTTTGTTTTCTTTTTCGTCTGTTTGAAAACAAAAACAATACAAAAAAAATTAACAATAAACTGTTAAGATTGTAAGAAAAGTTTCGATATTTGTTTAGCTAAATGTTGAACACGTACGGATTCATCTGTTGAATCGGTAATTTTTAATTCTTTTCGTGCTTTACTTAACCAAAATTCACGAGTGCGATTATAATATTCATCATGTGTTTCATTTGGTATTGAATCTGGTGCTTCGATTTCAATAGATTCATCTTCCGAATCATCCGATAATGATGAAGAACCATCATCGTCATCATCATTATTTTCCATATTAACATCTGAATTTATATAATAAAACTGTATCAAATCAAAATAATCAAAAAGTAATCTTACCATCATCATCATCATCATCAGATGATGATTCTGAATAAATATGAACATCACTCTGTTGATTTTCACCATGAAGACATATCCATGTATCAAGTTTGTTCAAATTAAGACTATAAAAATCACCTAGTGTATACTAAAAGAAATTTTTTTATTATCAGAATAAAAAAAAAAATTTATGCTAATAATCTTTACTTGTTTTTTTTCATCAAGTTCTCTTAAACCACCATAAAGATAAAGTATTCCTTGTTTAATAACCATAGCAGCATTCATTCTTGATGACGGTATACTTTCTACAGATTTAATATCAATTGGATACCATTTCAGTTTATTTAAATCAAATCGATGAAGATCATTATAAAAAGCTGAACGCATTCTTGTTGCATCAAATTTTGTTGTTTTAAGAAAAGCACTTGCTGTATTACTAACACCTTCAATATCATTATCAGTAACACCACCAAATAAAAAACATGTATTTAAATAACATTGAAGACTACTTCCACAACGTAAATCAGGTTTGTTACCACTTACTTTAACTTGACGACATTGCCACGATGTTTCATCTAACAATGAATAATTGAATTAAAGTTTAGTTGTTTTTTTTTTTGTTGTATTTTATTTAATAAAAATTATACCTTGAGTAAGAGCAAAAACATCTGTATGTACAACACCTTTATCATCGGTTTCTTTACTATAACCACCAATAATAAATAACGTTGATCCATCTTGTGAAGTAACAATAGGAGCAGCTGAACGAGGAGTTGGAAGTTGACCCATAGGTTTTAATTGTGTCCATTGAAATGTATCAAGACAGAAAGAATATAGATCATTGAAATATCGAAATGTTCTGCAAAAAACCGAGTTGAATTATTCTCATTAGAAAGTAAAACCATGTATTGTTCGTTTTATGAGCAAACCATTTTAACTCATAATAAATTATTCTTAAATCTTAGTTCTTTAGATAGCTTCTATCGAGATGAGAGAAGTTAAAAAAGATTTATGTTCAGAGATTTTTTATCTTGAGTTATGGCGATTGTAGTTAGTTTTTCCATCAAAAAGCCATTGTCTCTAGTCATTTCTCTCCGAGGACTACCTGAAAAGTTGACTGCTGATTTTAAATTTTCCACAAATAAATTTCTGAACAGAAGTCGTTCAGTGTGAAAGTGTTCAATTTTTTACTATTTCTGATCGTTAGATATACGAATCTTGTAACCAGTGTTTTATCTAGCTTTTTCTCTTCTGGAAAAGCATTCTAAAACTCCAACACGGCCAATATGATCTTCAAAGAAGTATGTCTATCACGTTGAATCAATACAGTTTATTTAATGAAGTCAGACTGATTTTCGAAGTGAACTGACACTAACCCAGTAGAGTTAGTATTGAGTCAATCACAAAACTAGCTTATACAGATACTGATGATGGCATTGCTATGATTCAATTTGGACGAAGTCTCATGTCACTGTGGAGATACAGAATGAGTTGTAAATGATCGATTTGTGTTGAATGATCTAGTAATTACAGTTATCCTCCTAGTTTTTTTGTATAAAGATAGGGACTATTTTCAGATTGAAAACCAGCTCTTTCATTTCCTAGATCGCGTCATTATTATTAATCTTTATTTTCTTTTTATTATATAGAACCATCAGTTCTGACTTCCATTTCAAATTACCCATTTCTAGAAAAACAGTCGTGGAATGCTTTCTGACTAACTATTAGTTCTAATAAAGTTTTCAACATAAAGATTCGTGATATTTATGAGTTTATGTCGAAAATACAATAATTCTAAAAAATTCATTTTTCATGTCACTCCCTACAAATGGTCAAAAATGACTAAAGTTGTCATGAAATATGCTAATTTCAAATCTGTAATCAAGAAATCTTAATAATTACTCTGCAAATGATTTATGTCCATAGTTGTATATATAAACCTGACAAATATCAGAATAGTCCGCCTATAACTAAATAAAACGATATCATTTTCCAACTCATATATCTTAATGAATGAAAAGAAATTTAATTTTTTACGAATCCATAACTCTTTGAAAACTTTATAGTATTTTGGGAATCGGCTCGATTCAACACTATTATTTCACATAGATAGTTTCTATGAGTCAAAAATGACCCAAAAATAAGTAAAAACATTAATATCTTACGTTATATAATCTTGAAAACCTCCGAATAAAAATAATTTTCGTTTAGTTGTCGCCATTCGATGACCACTACGTCCTGATGGTCCATTTGAATCCGTTACTTGTTTTTCCCATCGTAATGTTGACAAATGAAGAACATATAAATCATTATAATGATAAAATTGTGATTGTGATGGTGATGTATATTCACCACCAAACATCCATAATTCACCATCACGCATTGGTACACTCACTGCCTTTAATTAACAACAAAAATATATATGAACAATAGAAGATAATAAAAAATTGTATTCAACTTGATGGCTTGAACGTGGTGGAGGTGGCTGAGGAGTTTGTACCCGTTTCCAATGTTGTTTTTTTATATCATATATATATAAATCATTAAATAATATCGTTGTACGTCCATCAAAAAATTCTCCTCCAAATAATATAAGTTCATCTTTAAGTGGATGTTCAGTAAATGAAACATTTGCCCTACAACAACAAATTAAATATAAAATTAATTCATATCAAATCTACTAATAAAGCAAATTTAACCTTCTTGAAGGTGGATTTTGAGTTGGTTCTTCAATCACAACTGCTTCGATTGCATTATCTTTTCCAGCATGTTTTGTAATTAATTGTTCAATATTTTCCTATATGAAAAAGTTAAGAAAAAAAATAAGGTAATAATTTAAAAATTAAAGTTTACTTCTCCTAATTGTTCAATTTGTTTTTGTAGTTCTTTTTCAGTTTTCTTTTTAGCTTTAGTTGCTGTTTTTTGTACAGCAGCACCTTTTTTCTTTCGATCTTTATTCTTACCCATTTAAAAATGAAAATAACTATTAAAAATTATTTCTCAATATACGGAATAAAATGAGACATTGAGCACCATCTATTATCAATTTTCATAACTGTTTATATTTAAAAATGCAATTTTGTTTATTTATTTTTTTAAATTTTAGTCATTCATATTCAATATTTATTTTTCATAAATAAAATTATATATATATATTCGACATCTTTCAAAATCATCATCATTAAAGAGTTTCAAACACCATCTGTCAATATGGTAATGACACAAAGACCTTAAAAAATATCGTATCATATTCATTGCCAATTATTGTTTTGGTACGGTGATTAAATATACACCGTCAGCATGTTTTATACACATGCTATATTGACCAAACGTGGTCCATTAGCTCGTCTATGGCTTGCAGCACATTGGGATAAAAAATTAACAAAAGCACAAATATTTGAAACCGATATACGTCTTAGTTGTGAATCAATACTTGAACCATGTTTAAAATTAGCCTTACGTACAAAAGGACATTTATTACTTGGTGTTGTAAGAATATATTCACGTAAAACAAAATATTTATTAGCTGATTGTAATGAAGCTTTTATTAAAATAAAAATGGCATTTCGACCTGGTATTGTTGGTATGGAAGGAACAAATAATCATATTAATCAAGATTCTGATACAAGAGAAGTTTCAATAGCTGCAATAACTTTACCAGAAAATTTTCATGATTTTGATTTAATTGATCTTAATATTGAGTAAATTTTTCTATAGAAAAACAAACCTTAAACATTCTTTTCGTCATATTTAGTTATATTGATGATCCATCAAGATTTCATATTCATCAAGCACGTGCAGAAGAAATAACATTAAAAGAAGATTTTATTAGTGTATCAATGCCAGTGGATGATGATTTTGGTAAAATTAAACATAAAAAAATATTGAAATTTTAGAAAGATTTTTTTCTATTTAGGTGATACTAATGGACTTGATGAACCTGAATTCTTCCGTAAACTTCAACCATCATTACATTTCAATGGACAAAATTCAAATATAGATTTAGATAGTATGAGAAAAAAAAACCTTGTTCTCTTTGTAATTTTAATTATTATTATTTTTTTCTGTTTTTATTGATTAGATACAAATATACGTAAAGATCAAAGTATTGCACGACCATTCAATGATGATCCATTTGCATTGGATGGATTTGGAGATCGTATGTTTTGAATTTTTCAAAAATTTTTATTAGGTCTCGTTTGAACTAATTGAGATTAATTGTGAGAGTACAACCGATTGGGCTCATATTTTTATCATAGCTATATATTAATCGAAAATGATGAAACCCATGTCGAAAAAAAAAAGTTTCAAAAATAGATTCAATGACTCAAACTTTAAAATGCTGAGCTCCATCGATTGTACTCTAGTGAAGGATTAGAAGAGGAATATAGCCTTAAAGATATATAGAGATGGAGTACGAATATAAAAAATGCTCTTATAATCGAATGAGAAGTTTGACAGGATCTGTAAAAAACTATTTTTTGTAATAAGAAGTTTTTGAAAGTCTGCTCCTGCTAAAACTTTCACAAAATTTTTTAGTTAATAACTAGTTGTACTAGCCAATCATTTTTTATGTTAAGGGAACCTGTTCAAAAAAAAAAAACTCTTGTAGAGAATGAATGATGGATATGACTTGTTTTGTGTGAAATATCTCGTATGTACTATTTTGAAAAGCTTAACATAGAAATTTCACAAATACTAATGATCCATGATCAATGTTTTTCTTTTCGAGCATCTAAATAGGAAGGACAACATCCTTTCGGGAATTGAGTTAACTTTACCGAATTTTATGTTTATTAAACTGTAGAGAATAGCATTGATTTAGTCGAACAAGAAAATATCGAATAGGCTTTTGCTACAAAAATAAACGTGCTTCTAGATGTTTTCAAAAAAGCATAATAAGTCTCCATAGTCTATTAATTTTTCTTTGTTAAGTTGATAAAGAACAGATCTGAAAAATGTTCGATTCCTCTCAGTGAATTGATAGGATCTTATAGACAACGAGAAGATACTTCGAAATACATAAATGTTATAATTATTGAATAAATATTGTCATTTAACATTTTTTTGATAACATAGATGTTTTTTTTTAAATAATAGTCGGATAATATTCACTTTGTATCTAACCCACTAAGATAACACTTTTTATCCCTAACTATTTTAAAATAGATTATTAATGTAGTTCGATCAATTTCACAATATACAAGTTGATGATAGATAATCGAATCTTCAGTACAAGTACGAGTATTTTGCCTCATTCTGATCGATTATCATTTAATATTGAAGAATTCAAGCAAAATTTATCATAGGATTTTCTTATTGTGTTTAATTTTTTTAGTTGCTGCACCTGCTTCAGTAATTGGTATTGGTGGTGACAATTCAAATCTATCTAATGATAAAGATCAATATGACCATGTTATGTCACCATTTCATCGTAAGTTTATTATTAATTTTGAAAAAAAAAGAAAAGTTTTTTCCTTTCATATTTTACAGAAGATGAAAATGTGCCTGAGCTACCAGCGCTTCATGATCATGAAGCACCAATTCGTGAACAGGATCAAGGTAATTGAAATCTATTGTAACTGACGCTTTAGAATTTTTGAAACCCAATGTTCTTTTATTTTTCGTCTAATTCAAATTGTAAGACCTTGAATTAAAATCAAAATTTTACAAAAAGAAAGTTTAGATAAGTAATTGCTGAGAGATCTTTGGTTCTTCGTGTACTTTATAGAACATATTCTTATTCTTTATGCTCTACAAAAATCGCTAATAGAAGTTCTATTGTGTACGGTTTGATGGAAAAAATTTTCAAAACTTGATATAGTCAAATAAGCCGAAAAAACTTATATTCTAATTTCATCTTGAAACTTTTGTATAGAGACAGATTTTGATAAGAATACTAGTTCTTTTTAATGAATGTTTTACATCTTGTCACTGTTCCTATCCTAAGATACAATTATGGTAATAATGTGTTTTTTGACATTACTCATCTGAACCGGTAAATTTGATACTCGTATCTCAGTATAGACGCAAATCGAAAACAATAAACTACTTTCTTTATGCAAAGTTTCAAGTCAAAAATTGAAAATGAATTTTTTTGGTGTATTCATTTAAAAAATATCATACAAGTGTAATATCATTCCAGAGCAATCAGCTAATGGTGGCGAGAATAGAAAATTTGAATAAAAAGTTTGAGCAAATAATTATATTTAAAAATAATAATATAAAATTTAGCTGATGATTATAATCGTATGGATATTGATGCTGCAAATCAAGATTTACAAGTTGCTGCAGGTATTGATGATACAACACTTGTATCAAATGTTTCAGATGAATTTATTTTACCACCAATATCAACAACAGGTAAAATTAAAATCGAAATAAAAAAATCTAAATCACTTAATTTTTTTCTTATTCAATATTAGCACAAACACCTGCAGCTCGACAAGCCATAAAACGTAAACGAAAATTAGTTATTGATGAAGTTAAAGAAATTGATAGTACATCAATGAAAACACAATTAAGTGATACAACTGATATTGTTGGTGTACTTGAATTAGCACCACCAACACGTCGTTTAATGCATTTAAAAGAAACCGGTGGAATTGAAAAATTATTTTCTTTTAGTGCTACATCTATTTATTCAAAAACATTACAACAAGTAAAATAAAAATTAAGAAAAAAAAAACAAAACAAAATATATGGAAAATTTTCATCATTTTAGTTAATTACTCGTAATATGGTTACAAAACCATTAGATCAAATGGCACCTGATAATTATCAAATTCAACATGATCTTGCTATGGAAGAACTTGAACGTGAAAAAGATGATACATCAATTGAACATATGCGTGCTACACATCATCATTATCTTGAAGTTTTAGGTCATGATCCATCATCATATAATTCACCAAATCGTTCCAAAAAACGTAGTCTATCACCAAATAATGAATTAAATAATGATAAACGTCAACGTCTAGATGGAATTTTACCAGATGATTCATTAATTTTTCCACCAATGACAACATCAATTGATAATCTTATTGATGTTATACCAGCACCATTGTCACCAACACGAAAAAGTGGACGTAAAGTTCATGAACTTAATCAAGCACCATTATCACCATCACGTACACCAACTAATACACGACGTAAAAAAGGTATGGGACATTTAACAAAAGAAAATCATGAAGAACAAGAAGATGATGATGATGAACATGGACAAACAACAACAGCTCAAGAAGTTAGTTTTATTTGTTTTTAAAATTAAAGAAACGCATAAGAGATCAAATCAGTTCATTACTATGTTCTTTAGTCATTATTCTGATAATTCATCCTATCACGATAAATTCACATTGAGAATCAATATACAAAATAAATACTACTGAAAAATATGATGAAGTTGAAATTAATATGTAAATCATCAATTAATTGTTTAATTTCGTGAGATATAATTTCAATTAACTATTAGCATATATACTGTATATATTATTCTTACTTATCTTTCAACAAATATTTATATCTGAAAAATTAAAGTGACTGAAATTCTTGTATTACTCATTTAGTAGTCTTTTTGAAAAGCTAAAAAAAAATCATATATTTGTCAAAGCAAAAAAGAGATTTGGTCACTTGACAAACTCCTAAACGCACTATTTTTCTAATTAGGGTTAAGTGCTTGAAAGAAAAAAGTTAATTTTTGGGAGAATGATATAAATTGAAAGACCAAGCGATTGCATAAACAATATTTCCTATGATGCTGTATAAATGCAGATCTTTTCTTAAGCTACATCTACACTTACGCCCTAATCTTATAATTTTTCAACGAAAGAAAAATTTTGCGAAAATATTTGAAATACTGATATTGAATTCATCGGGATGCAATACATTATTATTACAATCATAAGTAAAACTGTGTTACCTCGTTGATAACTTTTAGGTTTGAAAATTAGATCGAATCTGATGAAACT